GGGTCGGGTTGTTTCAAGAAGTCTTCTCAATCTTGTTTGATTTTGAAACTACATTTAAAACAATGTAAAAACGAAAAAATATGGRAAAGCCGGCTATCGGAATCGAACCAATGACCATCGCATTACAAATGCGATGCTCGAACCTCTGAGCTAAGCGGGCTCAAATAAAATAGAGCATGCGTATAAATTCACTTAACTACTGGATCGTATAGATCCTTGGTGGAACTTATTAATCGGACGAGAATAAAGATAGAGTCCCATTCTACATGTCAATACTGACAACAATGAAATTTATAGTAAGATGAAAATCGGTGACTTTTAAAATCGTAAGGGTTCAAGTCCCTCTATCCCCAAATCTACTCCCCCAAAAATTCTGTTTGACACCTTATCTTTCTTTTTTTAGTTATTCAAGGATTCATTATCTTTTTTCATTCAGCCTACGCTTTTACAAACTATAATTTCTTTTCTTATTATATACAAGTCTTGTGGTGTGGGATATATCATACACGTACAAATGAGATGAGAAAGAAATATAGATTTGAATCAGTTATAATCTATATCATTTTTTTAGAAAGTCTATTTTCGAAGATTCAAGAAATTCACGGTCCAAAACTTTTCTCATTTACTATTTTTCCATTTCTTTTAATTGACATAGACCCAAATAATCTAGTAAAATGTAAAATGAGGATGATACCTCGGTAATGGTCGGGATAACTCAGTTGGTAGAGCAGAGGACTGAAAATCCTCGTGTCACCAGTTCAAATCTGGTTCTTGGCATATGATTGATTAATTTTGATAAGTTTTTATTCTTCAAATTAAACRGATCCTTAGTAAAAAAGTGCAATCATCATTTATAGCCCTCTCTGTTTTTGTTCATGTTGTGGGTCCATCCGTTCAAAAAGAATGTAAAATACTTTATATAGAATACATATTCGAAAGGAAAGTTCGGCTTGAAAGAATCAAACGAAACAAGTAAAAACAAAAAGGTGTATATCTATAGTATCTAGAGTTGAAAGGCAGAAAGACCCCAAGATTTATTAGATACAATAGAAATAGAATTGTACCCCCCTCATTTATTGCTTTCCGATATTATTTATTCATTCCGAGTTATGTGACTATAGTTGACTAATTTATGTGCGAGRTACAAAGTTCATAATGCAAAACTTTTTTTTAGTTCCTCCTATTAGCTCGGCTTTTACAGAAAAATGTATCTTTTAAATTGGAGATCAAACTATCTATAATAATATGAATGAGACCTCGATTCTTCTGTTTGTTTGATTGAAAAATAAAAAACAATCGAATTCACAATATTTCATGAAGGTTCGTAATTGTAGAAGCTAAGACTCGTTTTTTATCATTCAACAAGCATCTTGGATTTCATAAAAATTGGGGGCAATATAATCTTTACGTAAAGGCCACCCTATCCAACTTTCGGGCATTAAAATTTGTTTCAGTCGTGGCTGGCTATCATAAGTGATTCCTAACATATCATAAGATTCCTGTTCTTGAAAATCTGTACGTTTCCAAACCCAGAAAACGGATGGAATTCGAGGATTACTCCTGTGCATAAATACTTTTATGCAGACTTCTTCCGCTTGATTGACACCATATTCTATTCTTGTAAGATGATACACACTGGTTAAGAGGCCACCTGGTGCCACATCATATGCACACTGCGAACGTAAATAATTGTAACTATATACATATAAAATTACAGCAATATATGCCAATCTTCGGGCTTTATTTGTAAAGTCTCTATTCCTTGGTAATCGAAGCCCAACGATCTATGAATCACCCTGCATTTAGCTAGCCCAACGGAAAAAGTGCCCTGCATCGTTTTTTATTTCCCCCACACCTTTTTAATATAAAATAAGTATTTCACATTAGTTTTTTTTCTTATTCTCTAACCCCCCCCCCTAATTCACTAATTCGTGGGAAGATACTAGACTTTTGTATGTAAAAAATATTTCAGTAGAGATCTCTGAAGTAGAGGATGGTGGATAGAGTAATTCTTGATCATAATTTCTAGTATGCGTACTACGTACAACAAAAAAACTTGTGAGTGGTAGTAAAACACCGATTACCCTGTTGAGGTCTAATTCGATCCTTATAGATTTCTCTAGCTATTTTCTTACGAAGCTTTGTTATAGCGTCTATAACAGCCTCTGGTTTAGGTGGACAACCCGGCAAATAGACATCTACAGGAATTAGCTTATCAACTCCTCGAACAGTACTATAAGAATCGGTACTGAACATCCCCCCTGTAATTGTACACGCTCCCATAGCAATAACATACTTTGGTTCAGGCATTTGTTCATATAATCTCACTAAAGAAGGAGCCATTTCATTGTTACTGTACCTGCTGTTAAAATAAGGTCCGCCTGTCTAGGACTTGATCTTGGTACTAGCCCATAACGATCAAAATCAAAGCGGGAGCCTATTAATGAGGCAAATTCAATGAAACAACAACTGGTACCATAAAGAAGCGGCCATAGGCTGGAAAGTCTTGACCAATTTGAAAGATCAYTTAACGTAGTTGAAATAACTGAATTTTTTGTTGTTCGATCAAGTACGGGAAACTTAATGGAATTCATAATTGGTTCAATGGTTTTTTTTTACTTTTTTTTAATTGTACAAGTATTCAGGAAACGAACTAAGACCATTCCAATGCTCCTTTTCGCCATGCATAAACTAAACCAAGAATTAGGATAAGCACGAAAATAAAAACTTATATAAAAGCATATAGCCCTTTGTACATCGAAACTCACTGCCCATGGATACAGAAAAACGGTTTCAACAT